TTACATAGTAACGTATAGTTACATTATACCAAGCGTTAGATCTACTTTTACTAACACATAAGCCAACAAACGCCTATTTTCTCCTATTCAACTGAAACGCGCAAAAGTTCCACAATCTTATTCAAGTATATACAGTAGCGTACATAATTAATTCGATTTGACGAAATTGACGAAAATCGTGAAAGTGACTGTCTTTGCAATATTTGCTGTAAGTTTTGACTCCCCCCAAACGAGAATTAACAATGTTAACATTTTATTTTGCTGTAAACAAAAGAAAACATAGTGATTAAAAGCAGGCTTGTCGGATAAATCCCAAGATTGCAGCTTCATGCTATGAGAGTCATACTTGGTTTATAAACGAGCAGCTAAAAGTCTAAAAATTTGTAAAGAGATGGTTTGATTCCAAAAGCTGCAAAGACACCCCAATTGACCCCAAACCAACAAAAATACTGCAATCCAAAAAATACTGATGAATACATCATTATCCCAGTCTTCTCGTGATTTTGAAGAACGTATTCAACCTTTGAAAAACAAAACTTAACGGGTCCCGGGGGAAGGGGGGAGGACTGCATTGTTAAAGTTATTAAAGCAAGTTTAAAGCCACAAAAGTTCTGTTTGATCACAAGACAATATGACTTTTCCTTCTTGTGGTATTAAATTGAAGTCGGCAGCAAACGTTTTACATGCATGTGGTCTCTTTTGACCTGTTGCCAAGTTTTGGTATCTTCAAGATAGGCAAACCACAGTTAGATACAAGTAACTTCGATAAACGTTCAGACTGTAGTAAATGTTAGTGGCGGATCTCGTGCTGGTCAAAATAAGTTATAAAGACTCATTTTAACTTCAAAAAACTTTTATAACAACTTTCTCGGTTGGAAATTTTTAAAGAAGAATTAAACCTAAAATTCTCCCAGTCAGATTGTCACTAAACTATTTAAAATTAGAAATATATTTTTATTAATGTCGTCTGACCTTCCCTGGATCCGCTAATGTAAATATGACCGTTTTGAAAGTGCAAACACAAAAAAAAACTTATTAAACTCTTGTAGTATAAACTGGAACATTTGCTTTCAATCAGGTCTAATCCTTTTTTTAGCAAAGTCGCTTGTGCATAAACAAAGATGCAACGATACTAAAGCGTACTTTATAGCCAAAGTCGGCGTTTTGTAGATAAATTTGTTGTTAATAGTGTGTTTTGTCAAAAAGAAAAACAAATAACAAAATAAAGGCAATACTTTTTGTAAGATAGAGATATATTTGGTTGACTGGGATCAAAAAATTGTAAAATGTTCCAAAATACAAAAGCTCGGTCCACTCTTAAATCGCTTAGAATATGTATGATTTTTATATCAAAATTCGCACCAAATGACGTAGTTTCTAATTATGGAGGTAACTAGACGTCACATTACTAAGCCTTTAACGGACCGAGGGACAGAGTTCCGACATTTCTCAGTGAAGACTGAGAAAGCGAGGCTATTAAAAGGTTTATTATATGGCATTATTCGACCTGAAACGTAGCTTCGTTTATTTTGCGTTTTGCTGTTTGCATTACGAAATTTGTTTACATTTGACTGCAGAATTTTGCGTTTTGGACCATGGTCCATTACGGGAAAATAATGGACCGGAAAAATGTTTCCTAGCCAATCAAAGTGCGCCATTTAGCCGGAGGTGACGCTTGCCATCTAATACAATGCAATAACGCTAGCTCTATTTTTCTTATGACTTCCGCTAGCAAAGATAAAATCCTATAGCAAATCCTATAGTAAGAAGAAGTTATGAACCCTAAAGTCTACGTCTAAAGCGCAGAGTCAAAATAGAATCGGAAGACGCGTTAAGAATCAAATTTTTTTACCTAAGCTGGATATTATACGAAAAGCACAAGATCAAATTTAGTCGTCTGTGTATTTAGGCTTCACATTTGCTACTTATATCCAGTGGTTGCTTCTGGTGAAAAAGCCCCTGCATTGAAATTTTTTTGGTGTTTTATTATATAAGAAAAAGAATCACCTTCCTGAAGCATACAGTAAAAGCAAAAGTTGACTCATGCTATGTACCCTAGTATCACCCATCAAATTACGTAAAAAATTAGTATATAACGATACTATCTAAATTATTTGACAGGAAGTACGTCACAGACATCCTTCACTGGAACATTATTTGACAGGAAGTAAGTCCCAGACACCTTTAATTGAGCATTACTTGACAGGAAGTAAGTCACAGATATCTTTCAATGGAACACTGAATGAAGTCGTTGGAAAACTGCAACCGTATTTTGGCTTGCAAAAAGACGACGCTGCATGCACCATCATTGAAAATCCTTTGAAACTCCAAAAAATGGCAAACAAAGTAACATATAAGATCATGTTCACGATAGTACAAAAACCTGAAGGAAGATACGATCGAGATAGAAACAACTGGTCAACAGAGATCAAATCTTTTGCACGTGGTGTTCGTGCGGCAATGGTCAGCGTTTGGTTTCGATTTGGTTCTCCACATGTCAATCCAAAATATCCAAGATTTTTGACAGCTCTGACCACAAATGACTAGAAAGGAGCCATAAAAGAACTAAGAAATTTTTATAGAAATCCCAAAGCACAAAAGATTGGAGATTTGAGACGACGTAACGACGAAACAGACTTAATTGAAGCAACGTTTTCTAAATGCTATAGTTCGGTGGATATTGTCTTCCACCTTGACAAATCAAGCAGTATTAAACTTTTTAACTTTCAGAAAAGTTCTAACTTTGTAAAAAATGTTATCAAGTCTTTTCCCGAGGAAAAGTTAACAGGGAAAAACGGTGCAAGATTTGGTTTATCGACTTTTGCAGGAAGTTATTTTTACCGTTTCTACTTGAAGGACTACACTACACAATCGGAAGATATCCGGGCAATTTCGTCAATCGCCTATAAGCGCAGTAGTACAAAACTTGGCAAAGCATTTCAGCAAATTTTAATCGACCATTTACAACACATCGTGATCTTCGTCCAACCGTAGACGGAATACCCCTAATACTCATCGTTCTAACTGACGGAAAATCGTATGTTAGTGTCACAAGATCTGCAAAAATTATTAGAAATAATGAAATTGCCTTTTTTGCCATTGGAGTTGCAAATTACGACATAGCACAGTTAAAGAAGATTGCTTCATCCAAATCAACACGTCTTTACATTGAGCTCTTTCTCAAATCTCAATGCTTTTATTTCCACAATAACGTCGTCAGCATGCTACGAGCCTCGAGTGGTGGCAAATAACGAAACGATTAGAACCAGTGTTAAAAAAGTCGCAAACAAATACTTCAATTATAAAGTCAAGCCTAATTTGAACCTAAAAATAGATGTAAAGGACCTCCAGGTCAGTACTATTCTTTACGTGTCTCGTACCACCCCACATCCATATCGTTATAACTACGATTTAAAATTTGAACGAGCATCACAGAAGGATAAAGTTATTGTGATTTCAGCAAGAGCCATCACGAGACGATCAAAGCGATCAAGTCAAGAAAATCTCCGACCAATCTACATCTCGGTGATGTCTAACAGTGACACAGCAGAATTTGAAATTAAAGCAAACGAATGTGATCCAAGTGTCTGTGTTGAAGGTACAAATGAACGTAATTTTTTGAAAAAAACCATTTGTTTTACATTCATCATTACAATCACAGTTGCTTTTTTGTCGTTTGCTTGTTAATGGTTTAAGAACAACTCAATAAACAGACGCACTTATGTAGAAATAGATAACTCAATTGCATGTAGAGATTTTTTCTTGTTGTTTTCTTAGATAAGATTTATAGCCAACCACATTGTAGTTAAAAGCTAGGAGTTCATACATATTATCTTGTATGGCACGTTGTCGATATATTTACACTGTACACAAGCATTGATTTAACATGATAAAGTTTCACTGAAAATTGAGAAATATGTAAAGTTACATTAAAGTCATATCTACTTTATGTTACATCACTTATTGTGTAATATTATTTATTGTCTTTAATTTTAAACTCGGCTTTTACACAGGATTCTGTGCATGTTTTTATAGCAAAAAGAACTAGCAATTACAGGATTACAAACTTCTACAGGCTACGTAAAAAATTATATAATTTATGTTGTTAGGGTGGGACTGAATTATTCAAAGTGCATAAATAATATGATGAGCAACTCATATTTAATGTTAAATTTATACATAAAAAGCCCACAATGACATGTTGGTTATTTGTCTTTTTTTACAAACCTTTTGCTCGTTAACAGTTTGAAGTCTTGAACAGTTGAACTTTGTGATAGATTTAACATTTGGACAAGTTAAGCGTAATGTGTGGATATGTGGACCATTTTACTGCGTTTCCTGCTAATTTCATGGCTACTTCTTACAAAATCGGCATAGAAACAGGATGTTGTTTAGTTTGAATCTAACAAAAAATTTAATTAGTTTAATTGCTTTGCCGAGCTCATCGAAATCGTCAAGGCAACAAAGGCATCGAGTACAGCAAACAAATACAGCATCGGTAAGACGTTATACAAGAGGCACGGCAAGATTATATGTTTAACTTTTACATTGCGCTATATAATCGGCAACAATTGGTGGGGGATTCGTTCAAGTGCAAAAAGCTCGTCAGAACAACAACAAAGCTTCTTCGCTTAAGATGACCGCCAGTTTTTTTGGCTAGACTGCAGTTTAGCGGACACCCGAAGTGCTTGTATGGGGAGCGCGAGCTCGTTTTGGCTTAGGATATATGGTAGGGCTTGGGTCAGTGTCCAAGGTGTCCGCTAAGCTGCAGTAGTCCCGGCTGAAACACACTAGGCAGTCACAACACCTGTAAAACGGTGTAAATTAGTAACAATTACACTTCTCATTTTTATTGATCATTTTGATCCAAAATAAATTCAAGCATTTGAACAAAAACAATAAAAATCATAAAGCCGTATCTTTTCTTTGCATAACAATCCCTATTCTTAAGATGATTTAAATTCCGTTGTATGATTAAAATCATTTGGCCACGTATCGACGACACATGATGCTTAACTTTTCCAAATGTTAAATCTATCTCAAAGTTCAACTGTTCAAGACTTCAAGCTGCTAGCGTGTAAAAGGTTTGTAAAAAAAGACAAATAACCAACATGTCATTGCGGGCTTTTGATGTATAAATGTAACATTAGATATGAGTTGCTCGTCATATTATTTATGCACTTTGAATAATTCAGTCTCACCCTAACACCATAAATTATATATTTTTTTACGTAGCCAGTAGAAGTTTGTAATCCTGTAATCGCAAATCAATCAAACAAAGTTACACTCAGAAACAACAACAATTTTTACTTACCAAAAACAAATACCACTGTCTTTCAAAAGATTGCGTATTTATGATGATAATGTTTGTATATTAAGGAATTTCAATTCTTTTGTGAGCAATTATTATTCGTTGCTTCCACACCGTCTATTAGCCAAATATGTGTTATTTCATTCACCGTTTGATATTAATAAATGACATTTATGACTCATGAAGGATATTCGTTTCAAAATTATAAATGGACTCATTTGCCAACATTGAATAGTTTAAATTTTTAAGTCGTTTAACATGTAGAAATTTTCATCCTAAAATCGGTTTATCTTTAAAATGATATCGCTCATTAAATTTAGATTTCTTGATTTTTTATGCAGCTAAAGAATGTCGCTAATCTTTGTAACATTACAAGTCTTTCGTTTCTCTTGGTTCTAGTAACTAGTGTCGAAATCTGCCAAATGTTTTTGGTGTTAATTATCGCTTTTCGTATTTCATTCAAGTCTGTAAAGTACGTAGTATAGAGCGATCTTTGAGTTTTAGTATAATGGTACTACTTTAGAAATGTAGCTTTTTGAAGTGCCTGAAAAATACCATTTATACCAAACAATCTTTTAAACTTTATATTAAAAACACAGTATCGGACATCATTGAGAACTTGTTATAGACGGCTTTGTGCAAAGCTTATGATACCAGGCACTTGCCTTACAAACTTGTCATGCAAAGGAAAAAAACTGCTAGGCATAGGAAACTTTCTCTATTATTTCATTTTTTTACAATTGCTTGATTGTTCATCTTGTTGCAGTCACTTTTAACTCATAAGTTCATAGCAAGTGGCAATCATTTAAGGTACATCAAAACGGGCAAGCGCTGCAACTTAAAATTGCCAAAATTTATGCATATTTCATGTATAGCTAACTAATGCAATTTTCATATTCATTATGATCATCATGATAAATTTTGTTCTTTTTTCCCAGTTTTAAACACTGCTTCTAGATTTTATAATGAATATTAAATAAAGCTTATGATATCAGGCACTCCTTACAAACAAGTCATGCAAAAAAATTTTTTGTTAGGCATATGAAACTTTTTCTATTATTTCATTTTTGTACCATTGCTTAGTTGCTCATCTCATCGTAGTCATTTTTAACTCATAACCACTGACGGATTTAGAGTAGAGTAAAACGGACGAGCGCTGCAAGTAAAATTTTCAAAATTTATGCATATTTCATGTATGATTAAAATAATACTTATAGCAATGTTAACAATAGTCAACTAAATTACGCTTTTTTTCCCACTTTTATACAGTGAACTCTATGAAAAGCGGTGAAAAGGAGAGTTTCACCGGTTATCATTTTTACTTTTCGGTTTTGCTGCGTTTCCTTCTAATTATTACAAAATCGGCTAAAAAACGGGAGCTGTTATTGATTATTTCGAATATAACAACGAACTTCATTGGTTTGATTGTTTGCCCAGCTTAGGAATCAGGTATACACATGTTACAGCAAACAAATACAGCATTGGTAAGACTTTATACAAGATGCACGGCAAAACTATATTCTGTGTACTTCATCACCATCTCCTGCGAGCGGTTTATCGTCATATGCGAAGTCGTTTAAATGCTCAACATAACCCAGGGATTCCGAGCTCGAATCAGATACGCATTCAGACATCGAATTCGAATTATCTGAGCACTGATTTGAGGCCATACTTTCCGGCAAACTTCCATTTTTTTTAATATTTTATTGAAAATACTGTCATTATTTGTTTTTAAGACAAGAAAAACGACAACAAAATCACCTCCTATAATATAATATTATATTGACAGAAACAGACGTGTTCAACTATCTACGTCACAAGTATCAATATGGCGTCGTAAAAAATTCGCAAATAGTACCCGACTTTGGAGGCAAAATTAAGGATTTTATATTTATCTGTTTAAGTCCAGCGACATGTCATAGTTCTTCAAATAATCAAAATTTTCAATTAAGCTCATAAAAAAGGGGGGCTAAAATTCGTAATATAAGCATTTTAACGTTTACATTGCGCTATATAATCGGCAACAACTTATGGCGCGCCAAGATGGACAATATTACCAAAATCGAAAATATGTACAACGAAACACATTATCGTATATCGAAAATAATATACTGGCAACTTTTTCAATAGTCGTAAAACGAAACGCAAAAATATAAAAGAAAACAAAAATTCGTTTACCATAATTTATATATACGCAACGAAATTTATTTTTCAAATTATGAAAATTATTTTTATAAAACGAAACTCATTTCTATAAAACGAAATTGACGTTCATAAAACGACGTTTTCTTCGAACAAACGACATTTTTTACCGCTTTTTAGCGGCCATTATTTTGTAGCCTGCAAAGAGCCATCCACTACAAAATTTTGAGGATGTCTTCGCGAAGGAACTTACATAACTTGACAAACCTTGTTGCATCTATCACTCAGCTCTCTGAAAGTGATTGCTCCAACAATTGTGAAAGAACTTTTGAAGGAAATAACGATGCTAACGCTAGCAATATTGAAAGTACGATACGCACTCTGTTCCCTTCTGCAAATGGTCGTTCATCCACAATCACAACAGTCGGAGGAGCAGCGACTACACCAGCTAATACTTCAATGCACCACACGTCTCCACTGTTCAACCCAAGTGTAAATTATGGGGGAGGAAAAAACTCAAAAAGGTCCAAGACTAGTAAAAATAACAACGGCAAGAAGCTGAAATTGAACGAAGCTCGAACAACTCTAAAAGATGTTGTCTTGATACCATATTCAAAGCAAACTAAAGTACCACGTGGACGGGAAAGAGAAGCAATTTTTCCGCTGGATTATAGTCTACGTTTGAGTTAGACCCTTCCATGGATGAGGAAGGAATAAGAACAGCATTAGAAAGCAAGTTTGCAGTGAAGTTTTCGAATACAAAGAAGTCTCCCAAATTCGAATTTATGAGAGCTGTACACAGCAAGCTGATTTCCCTTGAAACTGACGGCTGTCTAAAATGTGACGGTAGGATTTTAAAGCATGTGTCTGGTCAAGGACCAATATATATTCGGGCCAAGGAAGACATAAGTGTGTCAGTGCATAGTTTAGTCAAAATAAAGAACAAAAACAGTGATGACATTAGCTCTAAAGATGATGACATTATTTTGAAAACAACAAGTTCGAGAACCAATTCACAAGCTCATTTTAATCACAAAATTTGGGAGACAATCTAAAATCAACATTGCCTCCCTTGTTGCACTCTTTTTCCTCAGATGATATCTCTCATGAAACGTCAAGTGTGGCTGCCACATCTACAACCTCATCAATTTTGTGTCCAACTTGTAATATGAAATTCAAAATTAATGAAATTGAAGAGCATACTGATTTGTGCTGTGAAAGTGCTTGAAAAGGCACTGAACAGCACTATGTCAATATAATGTCTCAATTTAAACGTAAAGATAACCAGAATCAACCTAAAGATGACCAGGATCACCATTTGTCGTCCGATACAGCAGCTGAGCATACTGAACTTCTACAATTCTCATTGCTGGAGGAGTTGAAAAGACTAGAAAAAAATTTGGATCAAACCACAAATCGTGTAAATGTGCAAAGGATTAGTATTTTGAGCGACTATTTGGATAGGAGGATAAAATGTTCTTGGTTTTCTCCAAAAAACAAAATTAAGGTCGTCTTCATAGGTGAACCTGCCGTTGATGATGGAGGTCCAAGGCGTGAATTTTTTTCTGGTAATGAGACAGAAAAAATAAATTTAGTGCATAATGTTTTACCCTTTAATGTCCTGTAATATGATGATGTTTTTTAGAAATACTACTTTTGTTCAGGATGCGGCTGTTTGATGAAGGAGGAATGCCTTTGGAAAGCATCATGGCTTTGACACAGAACTTGTACAAATATGCAGGGGAAATTATGGTCATGTCAATTCTACAAGGTGGACCTTTAAATCAAATCCTTTTAGTGCACCAAATACCATTCTCTCTCCTGAATTTGCGGAACGATTTAAGATATGTTCTACATAGGCGTCAAGGTCTTCATCACTTACGTCGCTATAGGTCACAGCCTGCCCAATTTCCATGCGAAGTTCTTTTCTTCGTCACCGTATTGTTCTTTACAAAATATTAAGCATCGCTGCAATTTTCTTCCATGAAAAGTGCAAGCTACGCAGTCCATCAATTTGTTCTTTTGTAATAAAAAATCGTGGCCTTCCAGCAGAGCTCATTTCGTTCTCTTCCATTGGGCATACGTATTGATCGTATTCATTGCCGTTATGAATGTTAAACTGAGTTGAAAGTTTTGCAATTTCATTTTAAAAAACCATAATAACATCTGTGAAAAAATGCACGATTTCATTAGTCCATCCCTGAAAGCGAGATAGTAGGCATAGGCCACATAAGTATTCTTCAGAACGAGCTATTATCACCTCAGCCGTAACATTATCTTTCGTAAAAATGTTTCGCGATGTAGTTCATCAAATAAACTAGAGCCTCTCGCTAAGAATTCCACAACATCCCGATATTCTGCCATATTTAATATGGAAGGGACAGGCAGACAGAAAGGATGGAAGGAACAAGATAACGAGTCGTCGACAGTGTTCACGGAACGCGAAATAAAACGCCGTTTTTTCTTTGATGTCAGTGGCAGGGCGCGGTAACAAATGTCGTTTGTTCGAGAAAAATGTCGTTTTATGAATGTCAATTTCGTTTTATATAAATGAGTTTCGTTTTATAAAAATAATTTTCATAATTTGAAAAATAAATTTCGTTGTGTAAACGATAAATTATGGTAAACAAATTTTTGTTTTCTTTTATAATTTTTCAAATATGGAAAAAGTTGCCAGTATATTACTTTCGACATACGATAATGTGTTTCGTTGTAAATATTTTCGATTTTGGTAATATTGTCCATCTTGGCGCGCCATAACAATTGGTGGGGGATTCGTTCAAGTGTAAAAAGCTCGACAGAACGACAACAAAGCTTCTTTGCTTAAGGTTACCGCAAATATTTGTAACAGATAATGGACTATTTAAACCAAACACGAAACTCCTGAACATCACGATATAAATGAAAGTCTTTTTTAAAACACTTAAAATTCAGCAGTACAGTTCTGTTCAATGGGTTCGAAGGTGTTTGTTGTTAATACGCAATAATTTAAAATGGGATTCATTTTGACTTCACGTTCATAGACTATTTTTTAGCTTGAGATTACGAGATTAACACATAAGTTGACCCATATCAAGCTCACATAGCAGTTTTATTTTGTGATCTGTAAAATCATTCTATTGAAGCAGTAAACAAAAGATTATCATGTCAGGACAATTCTTTATTTAAAAGCTCTACATGCTAAAAATGATTCATAACTCATAACCCTCTCCCCGATGCAATATACCCATGTAGTATCCTCCCCTAAGGCATAAAATATTAAAATTTATTGTTCAACAAAATCGATCACCTCCCATAGGATCATTTCGACTCTGATTTTGTATAGATTAAAAATATTATGACGATGATATTTCTTATGAAATGTAGTTGCTCTAGGTTTTGGTTCCCCATGTTTCATTAAATACACATATATTTATGAAGATACGATTACTAATGTTAACCCCCCCACAGTTCCATCTTCTGGTCTCTCACTAGTGTTAGCCACCGACACAGTTCCAACTTCTAGTCTCTCACTAGTGTTAGCCACCGCCATAGTTCCACCTTCTGGTCTCTCACTAGTGTTAACCACCGCCACATTTCCACCTTTTGGTCTCTCACTAGTGTTAGCCACCGTCACAGTTCCACCTTCTGGTCTCTTACTAGTATTAGCCACCTTCACAGTTCCACCTTCTGCTCACTCACTAGTGTTAACCACCGCTACAGTTCCACCTTCTGGTCTCTCACTATTGTTAGTCACCGCCACACAAGACTGAATTTCCCCAAAAGTGGAAAGAGTACTCTGACTTCAAAAGAGGATTTGTTCAACAACCTCTGGCATTCCTTTTTGATGGTCTAGATTTTTTAATAGGGGTAGACAGAGACATTGATATTGAATTGAGGTGACTTAGAAAGGCAGAAATTCTATGTTCTAAGATTTTTTTGAATTGTCATGGAAAAAATGATGCAATTCATAGTCTTTCACATTTCTATAACAAATTTTTGGCAAAAGAAAATGGTTTCATCCCATGTCAAAGCTACATCTGATCTCAGTCATTTCAAACTCATCATAAAATTGCCCTTATGTTTCCTAACATGTATTTAAAGCAGGATATGGTGAAGAGAATGATAAAAATATGATGATAATATTTCTCATGCAATATGATAGTTTAAAATAAAATTACCGGCAGTAAAAAACACTTTACTACAACAACTCTTTTCAATCATCTGCACTATAAATTAAGCCCCTACGCTCCTTAAATAAATTTCCTCAAAAATGAAAGTTCTCCATGTTTTATTAAGTACATGATACATGTATATTTATGAAAATTCTGCATAAAGAGCCTCGACGTAAAATCCTTTAACAATGTAATCAATGCTGGAATTTTAAAAACGATTTAATAAATCAATAAGCTGTTTTGTGGTTAATATATGCAAAGTATCATCGGATTAATTAAAATGAAACTGAAAATGATCGGTTTTCTCATCAATTTAATAGCTTCATGAATACAGACAATCAACTTATTCAGGATATCAGATAATACAATAATGAAAACACAAGTTGCATCAGTTCTTTCTTGCTGAAGTGGTTGCTTGCATGCAAGTCAAAAACAGAATACAGAAATTAATGGAAAATTTTTATAATTGTGTTGATTCAAACTAAAGCTTGATTCATCATGTCCACTGAATGCCAGCTCTTTTTTAGACAAATGTTAGACAACCTTCATTTATATTTACCTTTTCTTCTTATTATGCCTTTTTCCTCATTATGTCGTTTCTCTTTTTGTTCTTGAAAATAAAACTTCAACACACTGGGAAAAATCCCTTTTCATTAAGTTCAACATTTTATAAATTTGAAAAACAAAATTTCATTTTATGTTTCCTGAATCCGTCAGAAAAATGATGCTTGTTTATTCATTCAATGTTTGTCCAAGTTTTGGATTTGCACGAAGCAGCAAGGAGTATGACCATGCAGTTAACTACTGATTTTTGTCCTTACAAACACACATGTAAACAATCTTTCTTCCCTTATCTAGATGATCAGAATCTCCTGCCTCTCATTTCAAGTCTTAGCGTGCACTTTGCATGGCTTGCGACATTTTGCTTTTTAGCATTTTGTGCAAAGAAAAAGCCTTTGTAAAAGCTGAGAAACAATTAATATATCTTGCTCTTTTATCTGCAGATTAGAGATGCAATTGTATTTTTAAATTCCATAAAACTGTAGCTTAAGCGATGAGAACTTTGAGAGTGTTGAAAATAGTTGCCCTAAAAAATTTAAGCACCCTCAAAAAAAAACTTCAACGGCTGATTTATAACCCCTCCCCCGAAAACAGAGGCATTATTTCATCAGCATTTATTGAAAACTTACATTTCAAGTAAAATTCAAAAAAAATAGTTTATTGACTACTTTAACGTTTGCCTGATATTAGTAGTTCATGGTCTTAAAATTGATAAAGAATTTTGACCATTAAACTGTCAATTTTTGCAGCCATAAAACATCTATCATTTGTTACAAATGGTTGCAAAACAAAAAAATTTCAAAAGTCATATTTAAACACGTGCATTAGACTCTAGAATGCATTAATATCAACCTTAGTCTATTCAAGAAAAGGCATTACAACATTTTAAACAATCCTTAAAAAGAGTAGCTATATTTGCTGTTCATGACGATAAAAAATGTGAACTATCCAGTAAATATCGTGTTGTTTTTAATGTTTGTGGCATTTGTTTGGATTAACCCTTTAGGAGCAGGGTCTTTTCAAAAGTTTGTACACGTCTCATTTGGTGATTTTGCCTGTGAGCAACAACGGTCTCTAGAAGGTTAAGGATGCTTTAATTGACGAGAGCTGTAGCATGTTTCCAGTTATTTAATATTTGCTTATGTTCATTTGCATTTATAGCATGATACAGGCGAAATTGAATAAATAAATAATTAACTAAATAAATGTATGTATGTAGCATGTACCCTGTTATTTAATAGTTACTTATGTTCATTTGCAATTATTGCATGATGCAGGCGAAGTTGGCTAAATAAATTAGTAAATAAATAAATGCATGTGTGAGTAAATATATTTGATTTCATCAAATGTGAAAAATTCTCGGCTTTCATGATAACTAATACATTTATCTTGTACATTAAATTTTTAGAATTGCTTGATTTTACTTGTCTTGGTGATACAATAATTTTTTTAGATGGATACAAGAGAAAACAGAAATCTATTTTACATGAAAAGAGTAATCAATGTGGTACAAACGGAACTTGCTCAATTTTTCATCAAAGAATGGAACTCTCGTTACAAATCAACACATGGAGAATGGGATGATACACACAACAGTGGGAAAAAATTTTACACTTTAGAATCGGGTAGGAAGTTGGATAAAAAACTACAATTAAAATATAAAAATGGAGACACAAGTAAATGGGACTGCACAATATTATTCGATGCTATACTTTTTTCAAAATCGATTGGCAGACATCTTGATAAAAACACAAAGAATGCTGTTCATGCACTTCGTGGTGAAAGAAACAAAGACGCACATTGGTATGAAAGCAAATACTCAGATGATGATTTTGATGATATAGTCAGTATCATTGAAAAATCATTTCAAGATTTGAAATTTTCACTCGATGGAATCAATGAAATAAAAAATCATCGAAACTGTTTTAATTCGTTTCAAGTTCTTCCTTCAAAATCTAATCATTTTTTCGTTGAACGCACTGAATTACGAGATAAAATTATAAAAGATCTTGAAAAATTAAGGAATGATAACAATGATAAACTGACATATTTTTACATCACTGGTAATCCTGGCAGTGGTAAATCACAACTTGCAAGACAGGTTTGTGAAAAAATATCGTGTGCTTGGAAAAACAAAACTTCGTTTGTAATGACTCTCGATGGAAAAAGTGAGGAATCACTTTTAAAAACTTACTGTGAACTTGGATACCGTTTAAACTGTGACAAGTATATGACTAAAATATTTAAAGATGAAAACTGTTCCATCACAGATAAAGTGATAAAATTGCGATCGTTAGTATCCACACGATTAAAATTCTGGCAAAAGTGGTTGATCATTGTAGACAACGTGGTACAGCTCAGCAAAATTTCTTCGTTACTTCCCCAAGTAGGTGATCCCATGTGGATAAATGGACAAATCATAGTAACCATCCAAAACACAGATGCCGTACCTCAAGACGATGAGTTTAACAAACATATTTCTATCAGAAGTGGAATAAATGATAGGGAATGTTTTCAACTTTTGAAGCATTACACCATTGGACAAGTTGATGATCAATTGTTAAATGAAGTATCACACGCATTAGATCGTCAACCGCTGGCTTTGGCTGCTGCTGGTTATTATGTCAGTCGTGTAAACAAAGCAAACTGCTCATTTACTTGGAGTCAATATTTAAAGAAAATATCTTCAGAAGAACAAGAAAACATGAACGCCACTTTTGTTAAATTTAACTCGGTATATCCTAGAAGTATGTTACAAGCTTCACTTTTAGCTGTCAGACAAAATGCTGAAGAATCCTCAATATTGGCAAATGTTATTAACTTTTTTCCTTGATATCGTTTGATCCTATACCACGAGACATTGTTATTTGTTATGTTCAAAAAATTGATCCCAAACACTCAAACGAAGATATATGTCTTTGTTTAAAGGACTGCTCATTGTTCTTGCATTCAGAAAATAATGACATTAGTCTACATCGCATTGTTCACAAAGCAATTATTGTTTATCAATTTGAACATTCAAATGAAGAACATGAAATGGAAACTAACGTTGATCAAATATCTAAAGCACTTTACATGTTTAAAGAGAGAGACGACGAAATCAAATTAATGCCACATCTTGAAAAAATTGTTCAATTATTAAAGACCAACAAGACAAAAATCAACATGAACATTTTACAAGTTTTCCAATATTTTGTTGACAAATTAAGACATTTTGGAAAATACGATCTTGCTCTTGAACTATTGGATAAATTTAATTCAGAAGAATCTAGTTATGACAAAGCTTGGTATTTTAATATCCTCGGTCTTTTATACCATGACACCGGGGAATATAGCAAAGCTAAAAATCATCACGAAAAAGCTCTGGAAATTCGAAAACAATCGTTAGGTCCAAATCATATTGATGTTGCTGTGTCTTTAAACAATCTTGGTAATGTACTTGATAAAACTGGAAAATACGAGAAAGCTATAGAGTTTCATGAAAAAGCTCTGGAAATTCGAAAACAATCGTTAGGTCAACATCATGTTGATGTTGCTGGGTCTTTAAATAATCTTGGTACTGTGTTACATGAAACTGGAAACTACGACAAAGCTATAACGTTTCATGAAAAAGCTCTGGAAATTCAAAAACAATCGTTAGGTCCAAATCATATTGATGTCGCTAGGTCTTTAAACAATCTTGGTAATGTGTATAGTGATACTGGAAACTACGACAAAGCTATAGAGTTTTATGAAAAATCTCTGGAAATTCGAAAACAATCGTTAGGTCCAAATCATGTTGATGTTGCTGGGTCTTTAAACAATCTTGGTACTGTGTTACATGAAACTGGAAACTACGACAAAGCTATAGAGTTTCATGAAAAAGCTCTGGAAATTCAAAAACAATCGTTAGGTCCAAATCATGTTGATGTTGCTGGGTCTTTAAACAATCTTGGTACTGTGTTACATGAAACTGGAAACTACGACAAAGCTATAGAGTTTATGAAAAAGCTCTGGAAATTCAAAACAATCGTTAGGTCCAAATCATGTTGATGTCGCTAGGTCTTTAAACAATCTTGGTACGGTGTTACATAAAACTGGAAACTACGACAAAGCTATAGAGTTTCATGAAAAAGCTCTGGAAATTAAAAAACAATCGTTAGGTCCAAATCATGTTGATGTTGCTAGGTCTTTAAACAATCTTGGTATTGTGTATAGTGCTACTGGAAACTACGACAAAGCTATAGAGTTTCATGAAAAAGCTCTGGAAATTCGAAAACAATCGTTAGGTCCAAATCATGTTGATGTCGCTGCGTCTTTAAACAATCTTGGTAATGTGTTTAATGAAACTGGAAACTACGACAAAGCTATAGAGTTTCATGAAAAAGCTCTGGAAATTAAAAAACAATCGTTAGGTCCAAATCATGTTGATGTCGCTAGGTCTTTAAACAATCTTGGTAAGGTGTTACATGAAACTGGAAACTACGACAAAGCTATAGAGTTTCATGAAAAAGCTCTGGAAATTCGAAAACAATCGTTAGGTCCAAATCATGTTGATGTCGCTACGTCTTTAAACAATCTTGGTAATGTGTATAATGATACTGGAAACTACGACAAAGCTATAGAGTTTCATGAAAAAGCTCTGGAAATTCGAAAACAATCGTTAGGTACAAATCATGTCAATGTCGCTAAGTCTTTAAACAATCTTGGTAATGTGTATTCTAAAAGAGGAAACTACGGCAAAGCCATAGAGTCTTACGAAAAAGCTCTGGAAATTCGAAAACAATTGTTAGGTCTATATCATGTTGATGTCGCTGCGTCTTTAAACAATCTTGGTTTGGTGTTTGAAAAAACTGGAAACTACGACAAAGCTATAGAGTTTCACAAAAAAGCTAAGGAAATTCGCAAAAAAACGTTAGGATCTAGTCAGGTTGATGTCGTTAAGTCTTTTAAAAAATCTAGGTGTGTTGTATTATGAAACTCGGGAATATAACAAAGCTTTACAGTTGAACTTTGGTAGCTACGTGTTTTATAGAAAATTGTGCATTTCAAATTATGTTAATCCTATTTTTTACACATAGACCGTAGTTGCAAGGCTTCCCCCTTCCAAGTCATCTCCCGTCTCCCTCAGAAGTTATTTTTTGGTAGTGAATAAAATGTTTGCAATTTGCATTTTGTGAGATAAAATGAATCTAAATATGTAATGGTCCTTGTCTATAAATATTTTCACTGATATCTAGTCAATAAACTTACTCTACAGCCGGAATCATCTAAGTAGAACTTAGAACTGCCCATGAACTGAATCTATTATTTTCCTTTAAACTTTATTTTTAAAGTAATTTGCTTTTATGTTATAACCAAGTAGTAATTTTTATTGTATGATTCATAAACATACTAAATTATATTGGGATGACAGAACTTTATGACATAAATTTTTTTAAATAAATACTATCCTTTTAGTTGTTCATATTCTTTGATACATTCAGTAATTTTTTACCCAGCTCCATAAGCTTAAGACCATATTCCAGATTCCTACAATTTCCAAGGGATACCCCTTTCATACCACACATACCACCCCACCAACCTATAGCCAATATATCTGTAATGTCACTATCTCCACCATGAAACATAGAACAAGAACATAATTGAAACCAGGAATCTTTTGCCATCATCAAAGCATCGTAAGCAATCATTGGTGCATCATGACCACTGGATCCACCCCAGCCTTCATAACTTACAGATTTATAAAAAGCATCACGTTCAGGTATGTTATATGTCACTGGAAACTTTGGTTCACTGGTTCCTTTGGTTAATCCCCGTAGTTCAAGATATGACTCCCAACTATTTTTAAAGTAGCCCCAAGATTTCTTGTTTTCTTCTACATCACGACCAACCTTTTCAATGTATTCCCAAACTTTTGGTAAAACACTTGAAAGTCCTGCACCCCATTTTTTTGGAGGTATCTTCTGTATAGCATAGGCTGTAAATAAAGCTGCAGTAACAGCCCCTAGATAACCTATAATTAAAATCATTATCTTTAAAGATTGCTAATTTCAGGTCACTTATATTATGATGACCCTATTTACATAATAGCAGCATTTTGATATGGATCATGGATTCAATGGCTGTAGTAGTGAAGATACAAAAGCAAGAACAGCAATGGCAATTCATACAGCTTTTGGAAAACAGAAATTTGGAAATGTGGAAAAGCGATAAAAAGGATGCATCAAAGATATGGTGATTAAAAGCAAGCAATGTTAGAAGGATGGAGGATTTGAGATGTGGTTCTGGAAAATGATGGATTACATAAACTTATGCAAACCTAAGGTCAACCATCTTTTATTTCATTTATAAATTGATATTAGATAAAAGGATATGAAACATTCATGGTAATGGCTTGTTCAAGTAAGTAATCGAAGGAAGAGTTGAAGGTAAAACATCTAAGAAAAGCAAAAGGAATGAAAAGCTAAATTACTATAAAGGTTTGTCAAAATGAAAAGAAATGCAGATAACAGGAAAACCTAGCAAACTTTATACAAAACAACACTTGTCAATAGAAAGAACACTAGACATTAGTGACTTGATAATTGATACATGATCTGAAATCATTGCTTTATTATGAAAGGTAAATACCTGTGGGGTGATTATGAGTCATCCTTCCACTTTCAACAGCAATTTCAATTAACATTTTAATTTGATCTTCACAATGAAACATCAAACCTATACACATAGATCTCATAGCTGCACCACATCCGCCACCACGTTCATTAAATGGTATAATGTAACCTTTTTCCTCAAGAGGTTGTAACATGAAACATGCCTTTGTTGTGGTCTGTCCAGGAGCTCTTTCCCACATATCCTCAGCACATGTCTTCTTGTACTTTGTAGCCATAATGCTCAATAACTCTTCCGTTGTTGCCCATTCAGAAACCAACGCTTCTGCTGTAGCAATGTGTAGTACAGTGTCGTCACTAACCCTCCATCCTTTAATGTCAATTTTATCAAGTCCTCCGAGTTTTTCTAGTTCTTCATGAATTTGAGTACCACTGTAACAGAATTCCCACAAACCATTCTTATAACCTAGAGCATCCCCCACTCCACTGAGAACCATAACTTCTTCGTATTTCTCGGATAATTGATAATTCGACCGGATTTTCATAAGCCATTTTTAATGTTTACTTCAGGGTATTTTCATGAACGCTTAACATGGGTTTTTGAAACGCGGAAAACACCAGGCTTACCTCAACTTATAAAAACTTTTCTTTGCTTTGTTTCAATATTGTTTCAAACTATTCTGTTTAGGTTTAGACGAGAGCGTTGGGAGACTGGGACTGTTATTTTGTAATCCTTAATCTTTACCCGATTCCATGATCTTCAATCTGATTAACATGTTGCTTGTTGCAAAGATACGTTAAGAGTTGAAAAAACTTTTTCAGCGATAATATTCGAAAATATGGCGTTTGCATTGGTGAATTTTTACAACGAAAATACATGGATATCATTCCATATTCTAACATCATTTTTGAGGATAAAAATATGTCGAAAGACAAAGATGAACTTAAAGGATTCAAAACGTTAGTCATGTGAGGCGATGCAAAAACAAAGGGAAACGGCAAGTCGAGGGAATTTCCTGCAGAGATAATAGAGGTTTCAGGTTAGTATTTTTAGTCTGTTGTAGAATTTTTTGTAAAATTTCTAAAAGCTTGTATAATTCAGCCAAAAAGCTAATTGCTAGTGAATCAAGCTCTTTCTCTTTGTTATCATTTCTTTCATGAAACATCTTAGCTTTGCTATATATCTGTAAATTTCTGTATGAAAATCTATTTGTTTATTTCTCTGTCTTGTTTGTAGAAATAATCATAGTTGATATGAAGGTTGCTGCTATCAATTCAACTTACTGCTTTTTTAGGAGGGAAGTACTTTCTGATAAAAGCCTTTGCTCAAATGTTGTTCTTTCTTCTACATAGCAATAGTTCAATTACAATACTGACAATAAGGATGTGTCTATTTCCCAGATTTTAACTTGCTTGCTCTTAAATACATGTAGTAATACATTAGGCCAAACTTTGTATAAGGTCGTTTCCTTATAATTTCAGGCATGCTACTGCTTCCAATTGAAAATTATTATTTTTTAATAGTAGTTAAATAGTCATCCATTATTTTGTATAAACAGGTAGTAAAGATTATTTCCTCAAGACAATGATAAAAGAAGAAACTTTCTCTATAAATACTGGCAAAGGGTGTCACAAAAGAATTCACAAAGCAAAGTTTACAAATGAAAGTGATAGTGAATCAGATGATGGGGTGAGTTGCCCGAAATATTACATTGAAACATAGAACAAGAACACAATTAAAACCAGGAATCCTTTGCCATTATCAAAGCATCGTAAACAATCATTGGTGCATCATGACCACTGGATCCACCACAACCCGATACTCCATGAAAAGTATCAAAGAGAAATGATCAGCCCCAACAGTACCCATGATTTGGAGCAGAGCTTGTTATGTTCTATTTGCTGACAATATGAAGGGAAGACCAAGGAGAAAAGATAACTGGAAGATGTTATTGACCAGGCAGAGTCTTAAAAAATGATAATGCTGTAAAGATAATTGATTTATTATCTGCCCTATCCAGAGTTATTTAATTTGATCGTGGTCAAATTCTATGGATGGAGACAATGGATTCACTAAGGGTGCCTTGTATGCTTTGAAGTTAAAGTTCATTATCCAAAGAAAGATGGCCAGAAGGTTGTGTGTGTTTTGATGCTTAATGAAATGTCAATTCACAAACATGTAAAATGGAAGGCCATGAAGTTTGTGTCTATGTAAACAGTTGTACTAAGATTGATGATGACTCGATGCAGATGTGAAGCTTCAAACTGTATAAGCCATTGGGTTTTATGTATTTTAATGTTTAAATCATGTCATATCTTTATCAAAATATTTTAGTTGAATGTTGTTTGAATGTAATTCACTATACTGAAGCATTAAAGATTCAGTGGTGAAACCTTTAAAGTTACTGTTCTGTATATTTATTCATCATTACAGTTTTTGCTTTAAGAAACAGTTTGAGCTTATTTACCTATTAGAGTACAGAATGGAGATTTAGCATATGCAATATTGCTGCTTTTTTAAAGAAAAGTTTTACACTTTTCAAAGCTTTTCTACAAATTCTTTGCTTCTTATTTCTTTTCATGAGATTGATGGTATAGAGGTAATATAATCCAATAACTTTATAGTTTCTAAAAAGCTTTTAAGCTTCTAGCATAAAAGTACACTATGGGTATTTAATTCATTTGGTTTTATTGCCTTGCTATGACATATCTACTTGCTCTTCATCATTCTTGTATGAACTAAACACCAGATGTGGACACTCAGAGAACAAAATGCACTACCAACTGCTTATGAAATTTATTATTGAGGAGAAAACTGTGTTAATCATTCAAATCGTGCACTTATATTACAAATATAGAAAAAACAAAACAAAGTGAAAAAGAAGGGTAGAAGTATTAAAACTACAAATGAATTATAAACACCATTGAAAGCATAAGTGTTTTGATGATTATTTGCATTTTGCCCAATTCATATATCAATACAACAAAATCAAAATGCGCTACAACGTTACGAGAATCTGATTCAGTGAACTCCATATATATCAGTGGCGTGCGGTCATGCAAGCGTAGGCAAGCGCCGCTTGCCTAAGCATTTTACCGAACAAAAATTTTTTGGATCAATCTCTGAGCAAAATCAGTTTAAATTTTTCTGTTCTAAACAATGTCAATGTAATCTTTTGTTAAATTGTCTTTACAGTTGAAATGCTTGCTATTTATACGCGATTTACTGTCGTGGTTTTCGGTTTCACTTTGTTACACTTGTAAGATGAGTCAAGTGGATTAAATACACCTTAAAAATTTCTTATTTATTAACCAAGGCAAGCGCGTTTGCCTTCAGAGCTCAATTTGAGCATTTGCGCATGCGTTAATCTAGATTTGTAGGCTTCTTATTCGAGGAATATCGAGAAAAGGCAAGCGGCGCTTCTAAGGGCGCCGCTTGATAGCGATTGGTCAACAGTCTTGTACGCTCGCAATCTTAAACACATATCAGCGCACGAATAATATTCGTATATTCAACACATTGGACATTCGAATTATTCACGCCGTTAATGTTATCGTTTATTAAA